AAGACATACTTTCTCATACCTATGACTATAGCTTAGTCATAGGTATGAGATATAAGGTTTTTTTTTAAAAACGGTGGGTGAAACTCTCAAAAAAGGTAAATATGTATTGAAGGGTAGTATTAATATTTTGTTCTTTGCATTTTATCAACAAATTGTTAATAAATTCCTCACTTCAATTTATTAATCAAATTGATCTTTGCATGTGTTCTTTGCTGGCTACAAAAACTAAAAAAAAATAAATTAGCCTTCAGGGGCAGTGAACTTTATATGGACCTAGACTTCCTCCCCCAGGCAGCCTTTAACGATCTCTTTTTATTAAATTATACGTATGTTGTCATAAAACAACAACATAGCAGTAAAGTAGTAGGATTATTCTGATCTGGTAATCAGAACCTTTTCTGCATATTCTTTTGTTTTGACAAGACAAACTCCATGATGAGAAGCCTGGTCGGCCTTAGAGTCTCAAAGCAACGTTCATCTTCTAAATGACAGATTAACAGAGAGGCCATTTTCCCCAGGGATTTGGAGATTGTTCAAATAATCTGCTATTTGTAGGCTCAGTGCAACTCTTTTTGATGGTTGTTTATTGACTCTATAATACTGCTGCTGCCCCACACCAAGCAATAATAACAATATAAATGCTTTAATGGTTTCAGAAAAGCTGGAGAAACATGGAGGCACTAATTATGGGGAAGGAAGGATAAAAGAAAACATCCTAAACACACACTAACCTGCAGCAGATCCACTTCACTGTTTTGATAACAGTGCCTGAGAGCCTTAGCACCATAAATTACAGAGATCTCTTCTTCAAAACATCCAGGTTATTTCCAGACACATGTCTTATTATTTCATCAAAGGTTTTGGCTCACCTGACTCTCCAAGAAGAAAAAAAAACCCTGCAAAGTCTTTCATTTCACCAAAAGGCACCTACTTTCTCCGTTTCCGTTCCCGTTTCTGAGGTCCTGGTAGTAAAAGCCGTTGTCGTAGCCGAGGGTCCCGCTGTGGCCCCTGGGCAGCAGCAGGTACAGGCAAACGGCCAGTAGGGGGCGTGAAAGATCCAGCATGACGCCGTCTGCGCGCTGAGGACAAGATAGGCAAAAATAAACTCCTGTTTTATTCCACTCCGATCCGTTTTTCACTGTTTTTATGACATAAGCATGAATTCTAAGTGGAAGGAAATAAAGATGCAAAAAAAAAAAAAGAAAGAAAATTGTTTGTTAAACAATTAAAATATTAAAACATGAAATACGCACTTTCTTATATTCCCTGGTGTTTCATTTTATTTTTGTGAAAAAAATATTATGATTTGAGTGAGTAAATAAATAAAAATATTATCAAATTAAGTAATGTTAGAAAACAATCGTTTATTTATACTTTTTTCTGGGATGTTTGTTGTTTATTAAATGACAAAATTTTGCAAAAACTGAAAACAAGAGGCTGGACTTGAGTGGAAATTGGATTAATTGAAAGCTTTAAAGTGAAAGTTTTTAAAGTGGGATTAACGCAGATTATTAAGACTATAGCGCGAATGAAGAAGCCAGTAATGAAACTAAAAACACCCGCAGCGCAGCCGCAGCTTTTAGGTTCAACCTGCGCTCTGATATAAACTTAGATCAAAACTAGTTTAACATTTAAAACGTGATTAAAAAAGAAAATTAACAAAAGAATAAAATTCCCTCGGTAGGGAAAAGGTCACTCACAGATAAGAAGCTGTTCTTCCTCTCTGACTTCAGCTCATCTCCTCCTCATCCTCTGCTGTGTCTCCGCTGCCATCCATCCGCAGGAGCGCGCGCGCTGACGTCACGAGCCCAGACGGGCATCCCCTCTGTGGTGAGGACGGACACCTCATCTTTCACGCGCTCATGCGCGTTCACCGACCTTTGGAGCTGAACACAAGCTGTTAGTAAAAACTTTACTGCATGAATCTAAATACTGACATAAATAAGCTTTTTATTTAGGGACTCTGAATAGAAATAATATATTAAACTTTGACCCAATTCAGCTTCTCAGAGAATGGATGTAAAGTTTCACATTTTACATAGATAAGGTTCAGTGTAGAACTTTCTGTGGAGCACATTAAATTATCTAGCAATTAGTATCTGTTAAAAGGGGTTAAGGGGTGTGGGGGTATTTATAACTTTCACTCCACTACATTTCAAAGTCACTGTACTTTCCAGGAAGCTGCAGCTACTTGTTCCTTTTGGCTCAGTTTAGCTTTGTAATCCACCACTGCTGTTTTTCTTTCTTAAATGCAATTTTGAGATGGTTTACATGTAGTGTTGCACTGATGCCAATACCAGTATTAAGCCCCAATCTAGCACTACAATTAGTGTTGCACCGATACCAGTATCGGACGCGGCCCGGATACTGCACCAAACTGGTGGTATCGTAACCCGCAAGTACCAACAAGTAGGAAACCGATACCATTTTGAGAGCCAGAAGTTTATTCTATTATTGAATTCAGTTCAGTTTATTTCTTTAGTTCCAATTCACAACATGTCATCTCAAGGCACTTTCCAGTTCACCAGATCATCCAGTCAGATTGATTCAAAGTTTTCTATCTAATGAAAAACCAGTTGAGTGCATTGACTCATTGACTCTTCAGCAATCCCTCACACTAAGCAAGCTTGTAGCGACAGTGGAGAGGAAAAACTCCCTTTGAACAGGAAGAAACCTCCAGCAGAACCAGGCTCAGTGTGAGCGGCCATCTGGAGACAGAGGCAGACATACAGTAGAAAAAGAATCATAGATTAAAAAGCGGAGGCCCCGTCCAGGAAACACACAGCCAGGCAGACGAGCTCCGAGCCAGCTCCTATGTCAGAGGATGGAGAGAGCACATCCAGTTAGTCACAGTCAGAGAAACAGGACTACACTGAAAAACAGGCCAATCTCCAAAATCTATTGTCATCCATTTCAAGTAGGCAATAAAAAGTTCTACTGGATTCACTTTGTATTAGTCTTTTTCCTGCTTCACAAAGGTAGACAGCAGCTTAATAAAGCCATGATGGCAATGATTTTACATCCAAGTAGTATGCAGTTCTTCATATATACACACACATCAATTTCAAACAGATGGTATTGTTATGGAATTGGTATTGGTCGATACTGCACAGAAATGTAAATAAAAAAATCTAATAAAACAACATCCCTGTAACTTTTCAGTTGCTAAATAATTTATTGACCAACTTCCAAGTGATGTTGTAGGAGAACAGGAGGTTGTCATGAACTGGAGAGTCGGTCAGGTAGGGTTGTATCCTGGCTGCTAATACTACTGACCCGTTCGATGCAAAAGGATGTGGCTTTGGGAGGAAGACAGCTAGCAGGTTAACGAATTCTGTTCGCCCAGCCAGGTGGATCTCACATGGTCCCTATCGGAGGTAATACCTAATAGGTTTGGAGATTTAAGAACCCAGGTTGGTAAGCTGTGCCATAGCTCCGTAGGAATGAGAGGAGGGAGGAACTGGGTATAGATGTGGCAACAGCACCAGGTATCGGTATCGGTATCAGGGCCAAAAAATGGCATCGACGCAACACTAGTTACATGCAGAGGTAAATTTCTCCAATGTGATTTCTCCAATTATCATTATTATTATTATTCAAAATGCAGCTACTAGGAGTATATTTGAATGCCACTGATTTAGAGATCTGATGACATTCCACAAATGATTAACTCAGGGTAGATATTATTAATGGTTTATAAGATTTTTAAGGCGTTAGTTGTTGCCATGTGACCAAGTTGTTCAGTAAGATGAGTTCTCAAAGCAGAGCTGCAGTTTGTTTGTGGTACTAGACCTCTATTCCACAGTGAAAATGTGAGGAGAATCAGGACACTCTGGGGCTTTTCTATTTTGTTTTTGTTGGGTTTCTTTTAACATAAGAAATAATTGAGCTTGCCTTTCTTGTGCCATCTTCTGTGCAGAAATTCTTTCCAGGTGGTGCAGAATCTATAGCAGGTAGTTCTACGCATCAATACATCAAGTGTTTTCTGAAAGTTACAGGTTCTTAAAAATTACTACTGATGTTGGTACTGATGTTAGAACATTTGATTTTTACTTTTTAATACTTAAGTACTTGAATACTTAAGTACATCAAAAATAGTGAAGTAAAAAAAAGTGAGTAATTCAATTCTTTAAGAGTAGTAGATTTATGGTCCCTGTGTCCAGCAGACAGCCATGGACGCTCACACGTAAGGGCAATTTAGAGCCATTAATCAACCTAAACAAGCATGTTTTTGGACTCTGGGAGGAAGTCAGAGTACCTGGAACAAACCCACCAGGATTTTACTAAAGTAAAAGTAAAAACATATTTGGTAAAAAGGCTTCTCACGTACTGAGAAACTCATCTTAATGTATTAAATTATGTAAGAAAATGAGACCAAGATGTAAAATTTTGTGCAAATCTATAATGAAATAATCCAAAACCAATAACGTAATTAAAAATAATTCTAGGTAGAAAAAACACTGTTTTCGTATTCATTTTTTTTTTTCATTCTAAAACTTATGAAGCCAGTATCTCCAGTGTTAATTTTAACTTTTTAACATGAGCATGTTTGTAAAAAACAGAAGCTCTTATTTTAACACAAACATAAACTGTGAAGCTCATGAACTGCAAGAAGCACTTTAGAAAACAAAACAAAGAAAACACACCTGCTTGTTATTTAGAGAAGTAACTCAGCAAAACATTTTACTCAACTAAGAGTAAAATATTATGCTAAGATATTACACTAATAAAAATAAGGTGGTGTAAAAAAGTTACTAAATGAGCTGCAGCTGAGTAAATGTAAGCATTTATTACTGCCTCTGGTCCAAACCCAGGATCTGTAACCGTGCTGCAACCTGCTCCACCGTGCAGCCCTGCTACCATATATTCAGGTTTCACCTCACTAAACCCCTGATTTGATTATTGCATGACTTGCAGAGTTTAAGTTATTGACCGCACAAAGTAGGCTAAAATAAAACTAAGGGCACGTTATGCCCTAAGTAAAAGAAATTTAAGGATGAATAAGAATGAGAGTCAGTGAAAAAGCTGTTTTTAAAGGCTAAAAGAGCCAAAGCTTGGTGATCCTTCCCAGAAGTAACCAAGTTCCAGAAATCACTCTACAGTGTTTATGATTCAGTAAACGAAACATGGCAAAAAAAAAAACAAAAAAAAAACCTGCTGATTCCAGAATAATAAATAAACTAAAAAAAAAAAAAAAAAAACCCCTGATTACAAAAAAAAAAAAAAAAAAAAAAAAAAAAAAAAAAAAAAAAAAAAAAACACATTTGCCAAAAAATATCACTTGGGGTTAAAAAAAAACTAAACTAAACTAAAAAATGTTTTAGAGAAGTCAAACAGTTTGATGCTCTGGGGCTGCTTTGCTTTTCATTCACTCAATCAGTTCCGTTCCAGAACATCTTCTAGGAAATTATTTGGATTTGGTTCAGGAACCAAAGCAGCCATTAAATTGTGGAATGATCTAAATAAATTAAGTGAGTTCAAAATAAATAAAAATAAAATTTAATAAAATGTAATAAAAATAAAATTAAAATTTTGCTGCTTTGCAGATTTCAGAATAACCAGGGGGTGAAGAGAGTGGGGTCATTTCCCACCTGAGCAAACCCCATGAAGAACTGGATGAGCCTGTTTAAATATGATCAGTCGGTCCTTCAGAGAGGAACATAATAAAAATAATATAAAAAAATGCACAAAAAACATCTTTTCTATTTAGTATAACATTTCAATTAAGTCTAAAACAGGTAAGTAATGTAAATTTATTCACTTTTTATTCACTCACTATTTTTATGATTCTTTTACTATAATCAGTGGAAAACAACATGAACAGTTATTATCAACATCTAAATGTGAATTATGAGCTCTAGGATATCATTTATGCTTTTGCAAACAGCAGCAGCTCAGATTAACATCCTTCTCAGAGCCTCTACAGGTTTATTTTTGATAGGATGCAACCAGGGACTTAGCTGTGCTCCTGGGGGCCATCACTGCCCCTGCTGTATGTGCTACCATGGATTTCTGCTCTAGGTATCAGAGGCTCATAGACAGTATGTTCATTTGGTCAGACGGTGAAACATCGAGCCAAAGACCGCTGATCAGACCTGGTGTCTTGTTTTTTGGACAGACGGATGAACAGAGCTGGGAACTAATCCCCATCAGGTAGCGAGCTGGAGTCAGGCAGACCTGGGAACCAGGGGCGGAGCTAGATGGGGGGCCAGAGGTGGCCATGGCCACCCTTAGCCAATCATTGGCCACCCCTACCATTCTTTCCCCTCTAGATCAGACAGTGGCAGAAGTAATGCTCTCAAGTGGAATATTCAAAACATTTACATTTTTCATATATTAACAATTACTTGACAACAAAAACACTGCTTAATTATGCCCATCAATATACATTAAAGATGATAAATACAGAATTCATGCTATTTTCAGAACTAGATTTAGTTTTTTATAGGGTAAAGAACAAATGATGTGTCTCTGCAAGTTATCTAGGAGTCTTCAGTGAAATCATAGATAAATAACTATTTTAATCAAAACTTATTAAATAATCAATTTATGTAGATATCAGTACTTGTAAATATCAAGTTTATGCAGAATGATTATTGATAAAAGTAGGTAAGTAATGACAATGGAAAAGATGTTCGCCCCAGAACTCAAACCTGAAACAATTTTATTCACTGTACCGTTTATCTAAAAAGCACGGATGTTTGGATATGTGCATCTTTTATTTAGTAAAGGTGTGGGAAAGTACAGTTTGTCTTTATTTAGAAAACATGGATGTTTTGCTCGTTATTTTTCCTGTTGAAACAGTGTAGACTGACCGTGA